GGTGTTATTGTGCGTGTCTGCAGTGTCGGTGTTATTGTGTGTGTCTGCAGTGTCGGTGTTACTGTGCAGTTGGTGTTGTTGTGCAGTTGGTGGTCCTGTTCTACTGCTTACTCTTTTGTCGTGACAGGGTTTCACACACCTGGCAGCCAGGTTTGAGCTTGCTGAGGTTTCTCCTAGCTGTGGGAGTTTGTTCTTGTTTGGCTTCAGACTGAAGTCCTTTTCATGGGTTGTGAAGTGGGGAAAAAATGTTTCCCTAATTTGTGTATAATTAGGGCACATTGTTAAAAAGTGCAGTTGTGTTTCCACTTCATGTTGTGTGCAGTGGGGGCACAGCCGGTCTTCTCTTGGTAGCCACACCTGTCCGTGTCTGCGTCTGCCCGTCTCTATGGCGATGTTGTAATCACTGAGTCTGTACATGGTCAGGACTTTTCTTAGTTTAGGGTCAGTCACTGTGCTCACGTATTCTGCCAGTTTATATTCACTGAGGGGGCTTCTGTCTGGGGTGAGCTCCTGGTGTCTAAGGGCTTTGTGATGGATAGGGCTCTATCTCTCTCTCTCACACACACACACACTCACACACACTCTCTCGCGCTCGCTCTCTCTCACAAACACACACACTCAATGTCCCTCTCTCTCACAAACACACACACACGCTCACGCTCACTCTCTCTCCCTCTCTCTCACACACACACACACACACACACTCACTCTCCCTCTCTACCTCTCTCACTCACACACTTCCCCTCTCTCTCTCTCTCTCTCTCACTCCCACACACACACACACTCACTCACTCACTCACTCACTCTCCCTCTCTCTCTCTCTCACACACACACACACACTCTCTCTCTCACACTCTCTCTCTCTCACACACACTCAAAATAAAACAGTATATAATTTACAGTTTCATCATCCTCACAGTTATTCATCATGCAACAACACAGAAAAATAACTTTATTTCTGCACTGAAATTTCAGGCCTTGTCTCAAAACTCGCTGCAGCACACTCCGCCTCTGCCCTCGGCTGCATCCGCCATGTTGTCTTGTGGCTATGTCCGAAACCACACCCTATTCACTATATAGTGTGCTGCTTTCGGAGTCCGCCATTTTGTAGTCGAATCACAAATTCCGCTCCCTACATTAGGTAGTGTGCTACTTGGTGCCCCAGGGCGCATGCGCAGTACCATCTCTTGGCCGTACAACAATCCACTGCAGCCAACGACAGCCAGTAAAACAGGACATTGAGGCAGAAACTCAGCAGCAGTGCTTCAACATCATGATGGGTAGGAGTTATTAATTTCTTCCAGGAGTTAGATATGTGTTGTAAATGGCGGCTGTGTTAGTGGGACGTTTATAAATCCGGTGCTGCGTTGCTAGCACACTTGACGGTCAGTTAGCTAGCAAATGAGCTAGTGCTGCTCCTCGTAGCAGTGTTTAGCAAATTTATATTCTTTTTCCCGCTGTGTTGATGCTAAAGGACTGTTTGCAGCTGTTAACTCATATTTGTTTATTATTTTTATTATCTGAGAAGTCATTACAAGAGAAATGCTCATGAAGTAGCAAAGGGCTCGAGTACAAAATCTTCCTGTTTCCTGTAATAACGGACAGAAGAGCAGAGTCGAGCCTCTTCTCGAGTCTTTCCTTCCGAAATCACTTTATCGCTGCTCGTTTTGGCGGTGAAACCTGAACAGTAGTGTCCCTTGCGACGAAGGCGAAGTGGCGAGGCAATGGTTTGAGACAGGGCCTACTTCTTTGACTGTTGTGCTCTTGGCTTGTTTTGGTATCATTTAACTCTTAAATTAATTTTCCTATTAGTCTGATTACATATATGTTATATAACATTGATTACTACACAATCCTGGCACATAAAAATTTAAATAAATTTTTTATGTGATTTGATTTAGTTAATTTTTTACCGACGTTATCGGTTCTCACCCGTTTTCTGACAAGTCCCGCCTCCTCGCCAGGGCTGGTTTGTCGTACTTAATTATGATTGGTTCGTAGAGTTTCTTCTCTTCGTGAGGTATGAGTGTTTTAGCCAATCGCAGCGCAGGAAGACGTGTTTATCAAAATACGGGTAGGAAATACGTTACGCTCATGATTCGCGCATGCGCATTTGGTGTCTACAAGTACGGCAAGCACCGACCACTTTTAGCAGAAAGTCCAGCTAAATTATTGAAACACGTTATGGGTATATGTATATTTTTGCATTCAAGCATATATATATGTGTTATTTACTTTATATGAGGATTGTACCGCTACATCACCGGAGAATGTGGTCAGTTTTTGGTCAGTTTAGTGTTAACTGTGTGTCAATAGGCATTTAATCCGTTAAAAAAAATTCACATGCCTGACGATATGAGCAATTAAATTTATGTTAAAATGCGCAGCTCTCATAATGATGGTTATTTTTACATTTAACCTGTTACATCTGCCATCCGGTAACCCCAGTTATACCGCCGCCCGGTGTTATCCAATCAGCGAGCTGCTTTTTAATATGAACTAGCAATTTATCCAATCACAGATCAGTAG